TTTATTTCTTTTTTTATATTGAAAAGCTTTACGTTATCACACTTATATGCTTTCGATCTATTATATACGAGCATATTATATATATAAAGCGGACCTTACTCGAAAGCTAATCAAGAAAAGCATACGAAAAATCTATTACATTAACTACTTAACAAGCTGCCGACACGCGATAAAAACCTTTCCGACTTTATAACTTAAAGCTAAGTAGAATAATGCGAAAGCTTTTCGCAGCACTTTAAGCACTGCTTTTACTTTTCGAAGTCTTATCGATATTATTACGACTCGAACCTTTCGTAAAACTACGAGTATTGCTACGGCTAAAACCTCGCGAAAAAGAACTATCGATATTGCCGCGATTAGAAGCTTAGCAAGCACTTCGGCGGAGCCTTTTTGCTTAAAAAAGTGTTAGCGATTCCGAAGATAAAAATAAAAAAGACGAAGACTTTTCAGCAATCTATCGTAATTAAATCGAAAAAGAATTATAAAAGGTTCGTAATATACACTTACGCGGTTAAAAAAGTTATTTAGCAAAGTATTATTCCGATCTATTGCAGTTAAGATTTAATGCAATAAGTTTAACGAAGCTAGATCGGCGGTAATAGCGGCGGCAAGTAAGCGTAACGCCGAAACAAAACTTAAGCTAGCTAAAGGACTTTTAGTATTAGCGGCGGCAAAGAAAGCAACGGCGACACAAGCTCGAAAAAGAAAAGAAGCATTATTAATACGAAAAGCAAAAGCACGGCAAGTCTTTATAAAAAAGTTATTTACAATTATGCTTTTACGAAAAACGTCGTCGGCCGTTTTAGTTTTATTATTTATAGCCGACATCGCATCTATTAAGATTATACTAGCATTAACGACTTTTACGAAGAGCTATCGAATCGGAATCAAAACGAATATAAAACGAAAAGTAAAATAACTTACGAAGATGCAAATTAATTTAATAGCATAGCAACGCTTGCATTTAATAGATTTATCGGCGAAGAAAATGCACCGATTCGCAGCATTATCGATAGTTCTGCTTGCGTGACTTACGCACCGAAAGCAAATCGATAATATAATAGTAAAAGATAAAGTTAATAAGTAATGATG